CTGGAGAAAGCAGTTGGCAAACAGCTGTGTTACTATCTACATAGCAATAACCTGTTTGAAGATATTCAGTCAGGATTTAGAGCTCATCATAGCACAGAGACAGCACTGGTTAAAATGACTAATGACCTCCTAACGGCATAATACAAAGGACTTGTCTTTGTATTGGTTTTATTAGATCTTAGTGCTGCTTTTGACACCATTCACCATCAGATCCTGCTACAGAGACTGGAACATTTCATTGGCATTAGAGAAAATTCTCTAAGCTGGTTTAGATCCTATTTATCAGAACAATTTCAGTTTGTGCCTGGTAACGATGAGTCCTCCATGCATGCGAAAGTTAGCTATGGAGTTCCACAAGGATATGTTCTCAGACCAATTCTCTTCACATTATGTATGCTTCCCTTTAGGTAATATTATCAGGGAACACTCCATAAACTTTCATTGTTATGCAGATGATACTCAGTTATATCTATCGATCAAGCCAGACGAAATTAATCAGTTGGCTAAGCTTCAAATCTGTCCTTAGGATGTTAAAACCTGGATGACTTGTAATTTTATAATGTTAAACTCAGATGAAACTGAAGTTATTGTTCTAAGGGCTTAGCACCTCCGTGACACATTATCTAGAGATATAGTTTCCCTGGATGGCATCGCCCTGGCCACAAGCACCACAGTGAGAAATCTTGGCGTTATCTTTGATCAGGACATGTCGTGTAACTCCCACATTAAGCAAATTTCAATAACCGCCTTCTTTCACATAATATTGCAAAAATCAAGAGCTTCCCGTGTAAAAATGATGCAGAGAAACTAGTCCATACATTCGTTACTTCTAGGCTGGATTACTGCAATTCCCTATTATTAGGCTCTTCGAAAAAATCTATTAAGACTCTTCAGCTGATCCAGAATGCTGCAGCACTTGTTCTGGAACCCGTAAAAGAGATCATATTTATGCTGTCTTGGCTTCTCTGCATTGGCTTCCTGTAAAATCCAGAACAGAATTTGAAATACTTCTTACATACAAAGCTCTTCATGGTCAGGCACCATCTTATCTTAAAGAGCTTGCAGTACTTTACTGCCCCACCAGAGCACTGCGCTCCCAGAATGCAGGGTTACTTGTGGCTCCTAGAGTCTTCAAAAGTCGAATGGGAGCCAGAGCATACAGCTATCAGAGTCCTCTCCTGTGGAACCAGGTTCCAGGGAGGCAGACATTTAAGAGTGGGGCTAAGACTTTCCTTTATGATAGAGTTTATAGTTACAGCTGCTTAGGTGAGTCCACCCTTAATTATGCTGCCATAGGCCTAGACTGCTGGGGTATTTCCCATGATGCACTGAGCTCCCTTCTCCTTTCTCTCTCTCCTTCTCAGTGCAACCTCATCCCATTATTGCATGTTACTAACTGGACTTCTTCCCTTTCCCTAGTGTGCTTTCTCATCACTCTCCTCTCTCGTCCTACAACTTCCTGCAAGTGTTACTGGCTCTGGAGCTGTGATTGGGAGTCTCCTGATGGCTGCACTCACTGGTCTAAATACGCATCAAAGTTTAGTCGTTGAAATATAAACTGAGTCTGGTCCATTTGTTTGTAAAAAAAGTTTCTTATGTTTACTTTGAAACACTGTTGTTTTGCTTCAATTTGTTTTTACCAATTGCCAATCACAATTACTCTTTTTTTATCCCCAAAAAATGTCTCCCTGGAAGACAGTGGCTGTCCATTTTCTTTTTAGTTTATAATAATGCATTGGAAAGTCCTTAACCAGATTTGAGTCATTTCTGAAATTTCCTAAGATGTTTTCTCTGCTCAATTTTCTCTGCTCTGCTAAATTTCTTTTACAGAGGAACACCATTTCCTTGAAGGGAAGTTTCTTTGCACAGAAACTTTTCATAGCCCCATTAGGATTTTTAATTAGGAAAATCTACTCTTCGCACCAGTTAGGGTTAGATAACTTATTAAATAAAATCACCCCTTCAATTTGAAAATAGGACCCATTTGCTTAGTTAAATGCAGGTGGAGTTTGTCAGGCAGTGTATATGTGTTTACTTCTGCGTGTATAATTCAAGAGTGCTCCACCATATCACAAAAATGCACACATCTAACCTTCATGATTCAGTAATTTACTAGATTTAGATACACTCTGCATCGAACTGTCAGTCAAACCCTGGTGGCTGTGCTTCCTGACCCTCCTGAGCCAAATTCAACATCTGTCCTCTAACCACAACTGTCAGATCTCACAAACCAAGTAGTACATCTGAACCAAAATAACTCAGAGAAAAACATAGTGGAGACATTTGATTTATAACATTGGCATTCAATAATTTTATATTTCAAAATGTTCACACTAATTTCTACCTAAAATAACAGGAAAAGTCAAGAACTGAACCAATTTCCCCCCCCCAAAAACTACACAATTATACCTTTATTTTAAAAAATCTATCAATTTGTTAGTGTGTAAGAGTACGTGTGTGCATGAGTGTGTATGTAAATAGCATTTGTGTCTGTGTAAATGTGTTTTACGCGCACTATATGCAGTTGTGTCATACTACTTCCTTCTGGCTGTGATCATTGCACAGATGTACACTGTATTTCCCACACTGATTTTTTTTTTCCTACTGTATTTGTTGCTTAGGCAGAACTGACATCTCTTTCTCGTTGGTTTGCCCTGTTTGTGTTCCTGTGGTAGAGTTGTGGCTTGTCACCCCACACTTTCCCATTGCTACGATTGGGATTTTCAGTTTGGGGCAAATTTCCATTCATCCTATCCTGTGTGACGTGCAGAACTCCTTTGAGTACTCAGTGAGGAAGAACCATTGTGCACTGGTGATACCATTTTTTAAATTCAGCATTCTGAATCGTGAAAAATGTGCAAGCATTATGGGTGGCATGTGAAGGACGATGTTGTACAACAGTGCCATACGCTACTTCTTTGCTTGACGCTTGTGGTCAGATTGTGATTGCAGATGAAGGTGCCCATAATCTGGTCCATGCTGTCACTCCCTTTGGTTTTATCATTGTCTGTCAGGCCTTCTGTTTTTTTCCCTTCTGTTTTTGTTCACCACTTTGCTGTGATGCATTGTGCTTTTTTCTGGATTTTCAAACCTTCATCAGAGTGGGAATGTCTGGCTTGTTCTGCCATAAAGTCTGTAGGATAATGACATCTTTATCCAGGCTGCAAAAGGGTCAAACAGGATAATAAGATGTCCATGGTTATGTTGTGCCCTGTGTTTCTGAATCTTCTGAAATATTCATTTTCTAAACATTAGTGAGGACTGTGTGAGATGCTGTTTCTTTCTAACTTCATAAGGTCTCACACTACTATGCATACTGTATATTCCAACAATATAGTCTACTATATAGTCCATAAATATATATTTCCAGTCACCCAGTGACTACACACATACCCAAAGTGGATATTGATATTGTTGTATTGTAATCGTAATTTTCTCTTTTAATAAAAAATAAATAAATCAAACACCTTGAAAGTGTGAAATTGTAAAAAGATACATAATTAAAAACATGGAATCATTATTTTGTGGACTTAATTTGAAAACAAGAGGTATTATAAATAATCACTCTTAACTAAAATGGAAAAAAAGAGCAAAACAAAAAATTGGGGTATTTTTGACCCACTCGTGGTATAGGTAAAGTATAGGTACTCATACCACTGAGGGTTAAACAGCAGTTTTAACATCTTTTACACATTTGACTCCTACCCCTATATGGTGAGAACATTTCTATGTGCCTTTGAAGCTGCAATAGTTACATACAAAAAAGGAAAAGACAATCTCCTCAATGAATACATTAACAGTTGCAACTAATGATCAGATAAGTATTTTCTAAAAAATGGGCTTTGAAAGAGAAGGGGGGAAAAGAAGAAAGCAAATTATGAGGAAAAGTATGATAATCTGAGAATATACAGTATTTCTTTAGAGGAAAATGACAGAATGGAAGAAAAAGAAAGTTAGATGGAGAGAGAGCAGACAGAGCATCAGTGTAAGGGGCAACCCCTATTGATGTGGAGACTTAATTAATCATCAGATGCCTCTGAAACAGTCTCTGATCTTCTATGATCAGTGGCAAAGTGGCACTGCTATTGAGTGGGCTAAAGGAGTGGGAATAGAAAAGAAATTGACTGAATGGGAAATGGACAGAAATGGGGCAAAAGTAAAAATCCCTTATAGATTACTTGACGTGGCAAGGTGAAAGGTTAATGAGGGGAAAGACTGATAATAAAACAGATTTATATAAAGGACATTGTTGATGGACAAATTCTAATTCAAAAGGATGAGAACAAGGGGTGTGTAAAAAAAAAAAATCTGCATGGACACCTCATCGCAATTAATTGTTTAGAAAACTAGTGTGTGTGGAGAGGAGCAGTGGGAATGTATTTGAGCACATTGCATTATTTTTTACACTGATGCAATCACTTTCAGCTTCTGTGTGTGCATGTGATGAGTGTGACATTGCTGAGATGACGGTAGAGACTACTTGTGGATTTAAAAAATGTCTAATCGCCAATTCCAATAAACCAACTGAGTTCTCAACACACTGATGCAATTCAGGAAAAATTGGTATTGACCCAAAATAAACTGGCAGAGTGGATGCTAATTCCTGACAGGTTTGAATCATGCTGGTTTTGGCTTTAAATCAACTACCATGTGGTCACTTTTACTGATATTAAGGCCTGATTACAAATTAAATTAATGATAAAATGTAGTTTTATGAGGCAGGTCTGCTCTCCAATCAACATGAATACTGCCTCTTTATGTACATGGCAGAGTGACTTGTCCAGTTGTGTATCCTCTCACCTCATGACAGCTGGGAAAAGTACTCCGCCCCCCTCCCCCTCCCTGTGACACTAAAAGGAAAAAGCTGTATAGAAAAAGCTGCCCCTGCGACCTGCCTCCAGATAAGTGGTGCACAATGGATGCATGGATGTATGGATGGATATATTTTTTATAAAAGATATAGGAAAAAAAAAGAAAAATAGGAAATATGGTAGACTCACCAGCAACTGTAATATTGTTTGTTCGTGGTGCAAGGTTGCTGTCCGAGCCCCCAGTTGTTTCATATAGAGACTGGGAGATCCGTCGCTCATTGCTGTCCAGGACATAGTTAATAGGATGAGGGCTGGTTCGGGCCATCTAAAACAGCAAAGACAAAAAGCACATATGTGATGCTTGCAAAATTGTATCCTCACAAACATGAAAGTAGTTAGATACAAAAACTCTATTCAGTAGTTTTTTTTTCCATATAAAAAAAAACATAATTTAATGTTTACACAAATTTCTAATGTGGAAATATACAGTAAAGTAGAAGAGATCCCCCAAAATCCCTCCAAAGCCTAATTGCTCTCACTTTCTGTCTTGTTAAATTTGGTACAAAAACTATTAAACTATCGTGGCTTAAGGAGAAAGTGTGTTTTGTTAGAGGCACATAAAGCTGTTTGGCAATTTTGATGTAAAAGATGATAAGTTAGTTAAATATAGAATATTTGAAATAGAAAACAGTTTCCCCTAGCCCTGAGATTGACAGGGGGCCAGTCCATGGTGTTCCCAACCTCCCATCCGATGTCAACTTTAAGGTATAAGTGGTTTAGACAATGGATGGATGGATGGATGTGTCCCCTAATTGATGTGCGGAAAGTCATAATCTGACAACATGAGATCCTCAGGAGACAGAGGTATATAACTCCACTCTACAAAAAAGATGACATATAAAAATTCTAATGACATTATGAAATTATATAACACAGTCTAGGTACAGTTTAAATGTTATGAATACTGGATAACAGGGCTGTGAAAAAGAAATTGCATAATAACTTTATAATTACCTCTGCTAAGTGATATTTGCTCTAGACATGTGAGGAAAGGCTACAAAGTATGCTGGTAGATAGTGTCATTTCCTTGGAGCAAGAGGGCCCCTGGTTTGAGATCTAGCAAGAGCATTTCGGTCTATGCATTGGTGCCCTTGAATACAGCTTTCTCGAAAACATAAACATTATGCATATTAGGTTAATTGACAATTCTAAATTAATAAAATAAAGCAGGTAGAGGGAATGTATCTATGTAGGGATGGAAAATCAAATATAAAAAAACAATTAAAAGTCAAAATGTCAGTTCAATGATTGAGAAAATTAAATGTCTGAGTGAATTTCTTAGGTTAACAGGAAGAGAAGGCTAGAGAATGACACAAACAAGTTCAAACACAAAGGAAACATTGATAAGTTTGTTATCCTTCCCGTTTGATGTCATCAGTACTCCAGAAACATCCATCCAGGGATCACTACATCAGCATTTTTTAGCTCAGGAAGGTGAAACTGGGCCAACGGTTTACCGAACTAGATAAAAACCTCATGTATCATCCATTGACCAAAAGACACCTGTCACGTACAATGAACTCAAGTAAAAGGACCAGTGACATTTGCCGAGTGCTTGGTGTTCTGCACTGCTAGTCTTTGCGCCAGCTCACTGAACATTCATTGCATGTGCTAGTCTTGACAGGGCTATTGAATAGTGGTTAGTAAATATTCTTGGACCTCTAAACCCACTGCATGTTGAGCGTATAACAATGAATAAATTGTCATATGTGCTGTTCCATATGCATCCAGCTGGTCCCTAGGGGATGTGTATCAGGGATTTATCAGCTGTTTATGAGATGAAAGGTTTAATGAGAAAGAAAAATAGCAAATGCAATTATATTCACAGCCACAGTCCTTTATAAAAAGACGATTCAGACTAAACAAGGTTCTAACTGTTCAAATTAAGATTTGCTATACCCACTTTCCCTTTATCCAGCTGTACTCTTCATCTTTTAATGTATTCACTCTTTGTCTAGCCATGAAGTGAACAGAAGTGAGAAAGGAGGTTTGTGGAATTATGCATATAATGCACGAAGCAGCATCGTTATCAGAGGGACAACTTTGCGAGACCTCTATCAGTGAGATGAGCAGATTGATTTTAAAGTATTCATTGCTTTCTTTGCCAAACATATGTTGGAATCAATGTAACATAGAGCTAAAGTTAAATCAATCTCATTTTTGTGTATTCGGTTGTTAATTAAGTCTGTGTCAATGCATTTTAATGAGTTGGCTTCCTCTCCCTCGACTGAGTGCTTCCAGAGTGTTTGCTGCTTATTGCCTCATGATGAACTGTGACATTCTTACATGAATTCATATTATCCTTTTTCACTGAATAATTAATTGTCAATATTCCTTTTTTAACTTGAATGATAATAGTGTGAATGATCTAAAGACAATATAGCACAACCATCAAACAGGATAAGAATGAGAGAGAGAATCATAAGAATTAGAAGAAGATCACATCCATCCATTAGCTTATCCAGGGTTAGGATACAGAGGCAGCCAGTTCGGAAGAAAACTTCGAACATACTTCATACTCTCAAGCTACCCCAATGAGATCCCAAGGTGTCCCCACGCCAGACAAGATGCAAAAAGATTCTGGGTCTGTCTCAGAAAGGGAAAGTCCTGGAAAAGCTTGACAGATATCCCTCTCCCCAAGGTTTTCAATCTTCAGGAGATGTTTTATACATACCAAATAAAGTTGGGGGTATGGAATTGGAATGCACCATGTTCCGGACCTCTACTGTGTTTGAAGCTTATACTAGCCTGTCATGGAAGTATTCAGAGTATGTGCTGGTGGGCACCAGCGGTTGAGATGATTGTTAAGGTGCAGGAGCCATTGGGCTTTGTTGTCTTGGAGTTCAATTGAAACAACGGGCAACTACTCAGTGGGTAAAAGTTCTACAGAATTTTGTGGTTGGTGAAGCTAAAGCTTGAGTGTGGGAAGAATTCAGTGAGGCCATGGAGAAAAACTTTGAAAAACTACAGTCTTTTGGGGATCCATTCGGCAACACAGAAAAGGAAACAGGGTCCGGTACAGGTTCTGCTCGATCTGAATGAAAAATGGCTTACCAGTTCAAAAGGACACTATTGAGCAGTATAAGAAGCACATTGAGGACTCTCTATTACAGTGGCAGAGCCCGAGAACTTTGGGCGAGAATTGTTCACTTTGATGGTAACTGATGGGGCGGTTTAAAAGCTTGGAGGATATATTAGCTTCACCCTAAGATGCTAAATTCTATGGACATAGTCAGGCTTTGTTGAATGACAGATCTCTTTAAAACCACATGGAGGTCTTTGACTGAACCTGCTGAATAGCAAAGGGTATGTTTCAACTACAGGGCATTACAGTACTCATCCTCTGTGAAACTTTATTCCAGAGTTTGAAGAGGCTCTGACAGATTGGCTAGTGTGGTTCTCACTCAGGTCATCAAACACCTTTTCAAAGTTACTTAGGGGATCATAGGAGTTTGAAAATAAAGTCTACATGTATTTTCTAGACTTGAAAAAGGGTATATGGCTGCGTTAGTTGAGGGATACTGTGTAGAATGCTTCGGGAGTACAGGGTATTAGAATGGCTTTTGCTAGTTATTTAGTTGCTGTGTAAAAAAGCAAGAGATGTTCACATTCCTAGTACTGGTATTCTGCCTATTGCCACAAACCCATCCGCTTTGGGTATCTCGGGATTTTCACTTGTTACAGATTATGTTCTCCTGTTATCCTCTTCAGTCTAAGGCGTTGAGAATACATTGGAGTGGTTCCAGGCTGAGTGTGAAGTGGTTGGTAGTAACGTTGTCTCTTCCACATCAAGACCATGGTTCTCAACGAGGAAAATGGGGAATCATTTCTCCAAGTGAGACATTAGTCACTCTTCATGTCAGGGTTGATGACAATGCCGGCGTGATCAGATCATATGACATTTTTAAAGGGCAATGACAAAAATAAATAAACAGGTCAACATAGCTGTCAATTTTTTTTCTTTTTTTTCTCTAAAACAGAACAGAAATAAAACATTCATCAAATTACACTCATATACAGTATAAGATTAATTCACCGGAGAAGTCTGATGGGGAATGGGTGCAGTACCAAAAGGTCAGCAAGAGTAAGCATTGGGAGTTGGGCCATAGAAACTAGAGACAGGAACAGGCACAAAGTGTTTTAGAAAAACAAAAGTATGTTTAATAGAAAACAAGAAAGAATAAGAATGTTTTGTGTAGAAAATTAAGGATTAACTGGAGGTCCGTCAAGCTAACAATTTGTTATTTGGAAACTTCTGTTCCTGTTATCAAGGTGACACGTCAGAATGTCAACCAAGGCCACAGAATTTGCAAACAATGCCCAGACGTGGTCGCCAATGTGATAATGTTCTGTGTCTGATTGTGGACAGAAGCTGCTTTTCTGAACTCCATCAAAAGTGAAATATAAACTGTCCCCCTGTGACTGAGGAGCTCCGTCTTGGCTCACACATGGCACCCAGCATGAATAGACACACGTACACACCCTTGCACACACTGCCTTTGCTCCCCTTTCTTTTGTTAAGTATATTTCTGTCTAAGAGTTGTAATCTCACTAACAAGCCCCTTCCCCCCCCATAGCCTTAATGTCTCATAATCAATTTAAATGCCATACTCTAGTCATTTTCAGTGTCTTATCCTATTGATTGAGGACTGAATACTGTGCATCTGTGGTTCACCTTGATATGCTGCTGCCTAGCTTCTGCTGGAGTCAGAAACATGCCTGCTGTGTGCCTCAGTACAATGCAAGTCTTTTTTCAGGGCATCTGCACCTCAATGATCATGAGAACGCAGTTAAGGAAAAGAGGCAGCAAGTTGAAAAGCAGAGTTTTAAGCCGCCAACAACGGCTAATATGTCTTGTCCTTAGTCATTTCCTTCTCAAATGGTCACAGCTGGTTCCTGAGGGCCTTATCTGGTCAACCTCCACCATAATGCACTAATTACGGTACTTAAGCTTCTGATTTCTGCCCTAGGTTAGGATCACCTTCTTCACTACAAGCAAGATACCTCTTTTCATTGACCACTCATATCCACCTAATGACAGTTCGGTTCAAAGTGGTCATGAAGTATTTATTTTATGTCTTTTTTATTTTTTTTACGAATATTTTAATGTTATCTAAACATTACCCCGATAGGAAATCGGCACAGCATCGCCTCGTAATAAATTCATAATTAAATATGTATATTGGTTAGTCTTCTTGCACGTTGTAAAGATCTTGGTTCACACCAAACAAATATCACAACATCAAATCGATCTAAATAAGGCTGTTGTCAGTGATGTAAGAAATACTCAGGTGTTTAGTGGGTGAGAGAAATAAATGTGCTCAAACATCTTTGAATCCTACTTGTTGTTATTGTACATTGTTACTAGATGAAAACTTTTTTGTAGACAGCGCTGAGTGGATTTTTTTTTCCTTTTTTAGAAATAGAAGAAAAAACACAGTTTTGGGTTCATGCCATGTGTATTTAGCCTTCAACAAGCTCTTCACCTCCACAGTCCTCTACCATGCTCAAGCAGCCCACTCAACCACTAGATTCAATATATTATTCTCTCAATTGGTCCTATTGAGTTTCCCCTGCCACTTCTAAATGAGTTAGTTCTCAGAGAGCCAGCTGGGAATGAGGGCTGGCAGTGCTGGAATTGCATTTCTTCTGCTGTGATCATCCATCCATCCATCCATTATCAATACCGCTTAATCCCTCATGGGGTCGCGGGGGGAACTGGAGCCTATCCCAGTGGTCAACGGGCGAGAGGCAGGGTACACCCTGGACAGTCCACCAGTCCATCGCAGGGCCACACACAGAGACACACAAGGACCAACAACCACTCACACTCACATTCACTCCTAAGGGCAATTTCCCCAATCTCCAATCAGCCTAACATGCAGGTTTTTGGACTGTGGGAGGAAGCCGGAGAACCCGGAGAGAACCCACGCAGACACAGGGAGAACATGCAAACTCCACCCAGAAAGGTCCTGGTTCCCCCGGGATTCGAACCCAGAACCCTCTTGCTGGGAGGCGACAGTGCTAACCACCACACCACCGTGCCGCCGCTGCTGTGATCAACTTCCCTCAATTTACTCGTTGTGTTGTGAACTGCATTTCCCATAGTGCAGTGCTCTGTGCCCTTTTCAAGAACCATTACTATTTGCAATGAAAACATGGGAGTGGTACATGTCAAGATCTAAATGGACTTGGATCATTTCGTATTAAGCTTGGCAGAGTGGGACTGCAGACAATTTCCCTTCCTCTCTGTTGCCTCATGTTGTGGGCAGCATCTCAATGTTCCGAGGTCTCTCCCAGCAGTAGCCAGGTCAATACTAATAAAACCATAATCTACCAGACTGGGACTCTGATTGATAGCTCTCTCAAGACTTTATTGATCAGTTCTTCTCTCTTACAAGTGAGCATCTTTTGTTAGGGCCAGCAACTTCCTTCCCCCTTGTCTCTTTGCATAAGCCTCTTGTAAGTGACTAGAAGAAATGCTATTAGACTGCAATACAACCAGGGCATATGCTGTGTCACGGAGCCTACTTTTGTGGTACATAATAAGCTACTACCTTTAAATAGGATGGAAATAGAAAAATACTTAATCCATCCCCTATCTGAGGATTTTTTTCTGGTCCTCTGAGAAAGCTGCAGTTACTCCTAATTTGGAAAAAAAAAACGTCTTTTTTTGTGTTAGAGAGAAAGAAATGGACCTCTTTGTATGGTATGACTGTCACACAGTAACAAAGGAGATAAATGTTTGCGGTTAAAAATATCAAATCCTGCTATCAGTTTTGCACACGAATTACAAATTTGGTAAATTGCGACCTTTGTGGTTCGTATTCATTCAAATTTGGATCATGTAGCGTTACCATTGCTTTGTTGGATCTGTTTAACTTTTCAAACCATAGGTAAATCTTTGTTACATTTAACGATTTAAAAAGATTTTCTGACGATTTTCTGACGATTTTCTCAAGATCACTAAACCTGCTCTGGGCAGTACTACAACAACTGTAACGGAGAATTTAAAATTCCGATAGAGAAGAAAAAAAAACAGTTTTAGCTGGGTCCACTTATATCAACTAGCCATTAGTTATTTTACATAAAAGAAAAACACAACTGACTAAACTCACCCAAGACGATTACACAGTTCTATCAAAAGGTAGATTCTATTTATGCCCTAAAACAAAAAATCAAGTGTTAATAAAAATCAATACAGTTTTTATAGAATAAGGTGGCCTAGATAGACTGTGTCCACAGCCAGACACTCACCCAACCCCCACCCACCAGTCCTGATGCTTTGGATATGATGCTAGGCTTCCTTCGCTGCAGACAGTGATGGATCTCATTCATTTCAACAGTGGCTTCCAGTGCTCTCCCCCATTTTACTCAGTGTCAGTGGTAAACTGGTGCAAGATCCCCACATATCTGCCTTACCAATACGACAGAGCTAGGGGGTGAATGGGAGGTGGATGTAGCGGCCAGTCAAAATTTGACTCTCACTTTACTTTACAAATTATTTAGATTGACCTTAAATCATTCTAAAGTAAAATGAAAGAGCATATTACTTAAAAAGTCTAAATAACTTTAGACTATCTCCTTACACGACTAGGCAAAAAGTGACATGAGTTTCCGTACCTGGACTTGCTGGATGGAATATAAACCGCACCATTAACCATTATCTCCTTCTTCCATATTCCACTCACATCGAAACTAATTTACCAATTACACACAAGCATTTACTTTAACTATATTTTTCTGAAGATACATAGCTAAATGGCTACTCAATGTCAATTTGTCCACGTGTCTGCCTGCCAGTGAAAGGAGACTGACTTAAGTCAAGTGAAAGAACTTGCCGAAAACTTTTGAAAGAGCTGTCCCTGGAGGAAAAAAGGATAAGACACAAAGAGAGAGGCGAAGGAGTAATGTGTCCAGATTAAGCTCAGCCATGTTTTTTTTTAGATATGCAGATGGGTATATTCATTCAAATAAACTGGTAAAGTATCACAAACTGCTCTGAAACAAATGTAAAAATTATCCAAAGAAAAATAGAAAAACAACTGCATAATGAAGCAAGTTATGTGGCAAGAGAGTGAGAAAATGCTTCGAGGACAAAGTAAAGCTCAGCATGCTACTCGAAGCTGAAAAAAAACAGCCACAAGAAACAGGCTCTAATAAAAAATCCCAACAACACTAATCAGACCTAATCTACAGGGTGCCTGGTGAAGGGAATGTGAAGGGAGGTGCGAATGAATTCATAGATAGTCAATCTTGACGTAAATTTACATATTCAAATTAATCACTTTTTCGAGAGATTGCTCTTATGTATTCAATCACAAAATGGACAATTATGTTAACATCCATTCCAACACTCACTATTCTCAAATGCATTTTTACATTATTTACAGCAAACATCAACCAAGCCATAAAAAAATGAAGTGGTCTTTATCTGTTCGGGTAGTGATGTTATATAAGGTTGTCAGTCGTAACACAATGTCATGATTCTTTGAGGTAATAACAAGGTCCACCAAGGAAACAAGCAAGTATTGAGCAGGTATAAAATACTCATACAACAAATCTCTTATGGGAAATAATGCAAATATGTATCCCTGAGTAAAATGAAACTATAGCAATCTGTTTTTTTTCCATCCTATGTGAAGCACCCTCATCACTTTTGCACTTAAAACATACATTTTTCAATAAATTCAACTTCAGTCCATGTAGTCAATAATTAGTCACAATATTATACACCTCAAGTCATAATGTTACAAGTGCTGACTTAAAAAATCAGAAATTTTTCAATGGCCCTTTACCTCATTGTCTTTGGCCACCCTTCGAGCCACGATAAGCTGAATCATCCCACGTTTGTTGCCTTCTATTGACATGGATTTGCGCAGCGCTTCCATGGCATCCTGGTTAGTCATCCCAATCAATGACTCCCCGTTGACAGCAATGAGTTGGTCATTGACATGTAGACGTCCATCCTGCAGACAAATACCATCGTATAGAAGCTGCAACTAGTGCATACAATTCAGACATTTTGATGAGAGATGTCATTTATGAGAATATTTTAAATATACAGTATATATATATATATATATATATATATATATATATATTATTACTTGCACTGTTTCCCGTCGAAAAATCTCTGGGCAAATTTAGTAACTATTTTTCCAACTAATTTTCCTAATCAGATTTAAATCTGTTCCTGATTCACTGCTCAGCCTAATTAAACAATAAAATATATCTGAATATTGCTTCTACATGATAAAATAAAAAAAAAACTATAGTAATGTAAGTAATCAAAAACATCAAATGACCATCTGCTTTTTTAACTGTAGTGCTTCACATCATCTTGCCAGTAGTTAACTGGCCTACAATATGAAAACAGATAAACAGTCAGAATTAAATTTGATACTTGCCTTGCTAGCAGCCCCTCCATTGATGATAGATTTTACGAAGATGCCTAAATCAGCTTGATCCTCCTTGGACCGGTTACCCTTGACACTGACACCCAATCCTGCTGAGCCTGAGTCATTCAGGGGGATCTCAAAGGTCATGAACTCTCTTGTACCATCGAAGGTTAACACCATGTCATCCTCTCCATGCTGATATGGAAATTAAAGAAAAAGAAAGATGTGAGTGAGATTTTTTCTTGAATTCAAATAGCTTGTCTTTCGGCTAAAATGACTATCTACAATGAAAAAATATTATTATGAATATAGAATTTTTGCCAGATACATTTCTGCAATTACTAACAAATCGTATACAGTATAATCAAATGTATAGGACATACATTTGTATCTATCTCCAAGTTGACTCTGGGTTATGATTATTTGACATTGTTGCAAAATTTGGTAAACTGATGTCTGTTGCATTAGGGGAACAAAAAATGCAACGTTGTATTACAATAAACAGAAATGCATGTGGATGACAGACAAATGGGAAGAAAACAGTAGACAGCATGATAAGTGGTTAGATGAGGGGAGCAAGAGAAGAAAAAAAATGTTGCCATTGTAAAACAACACACATTTTCATTAATATCATGATCAGTAATTTTATCATCAGCAAAATCAACAACAATAATAGTAATCATCTCTAATCATCCTCATCATCATGATAATAATCATTCAGGAAATAAACATTTTAATGGCACCAGGAGAAAATATTCTTTTTACAGAAAGACTCCTGTTGTAGAGAAGAAAAAAAAACATATTTTTTAAAGAATTGGAAGTCTACAGGTGTAACTTTCATGATCTTCCATGAGCATCAGAGGATAGCATGGCAAACTTTATGAATCTGTGGAAAAAGTTCATTTTGTGGTTCAGTTCATGTCTATGGAAAGTAAACTTAGAAAAGTGTCCAAACTAAGTGGTAACATTCACAAATTTCCTCTGTGCTTATAATAACACGGGTTATTTGTTTTAATATGATAACAAAGATACTACAACAAAACTTAGAATATGAAAGTGCTTCCCTTCTGCTTTTCCATATAAATGTGCTAGTTGTCTGATGACAAGTGTGATTCACAAAATGATTCAAGCAGCACTGTGATATTGTAATTGGTCTGTACCGGATGGACTGTATCATGCGTATACATGTACTTTGTGCCATAGCAGCTACACTCAATTAATAACAAAGGCGGTTAGAGTATGCACCCCCATAACACCTCTAACACCTCTAAAATATTTTTTTTTTTTTTAAATCGCATTAACATATGTGTATCCACTGCCAGACAGATGGTTGCCAGGTGAGTGTCCTTCACAGCTGTTCAACTGAAGAGTGATACAGAGCAAATAAGAAGGCGATAGACTGTGCAGTGTGTGTTTCTCATAGCCTGAAGAATTCTTAGGATGCAGCAGTGCATTCAGGTGGAGTCTTTTTCAAAATATCAGACTAAGCCCCTGTTCTAAACAATGCCCTCCTATCTGCACTTTATTGCAGTCATTATAAAAATTCTGACCACAGAAATCTCTTTAACCAAACTGCATTTGAACATATCTGGTTTTATCATGGAACTCACCAGCTTTTGTCAGGAGGTGACCCTATACTTTACTTTACCTTACCTACTGAATGAACTGGACCAGGGACAGAAAGCTAAAAACTAAAAGAGAAATTCTAAGCGAAAAGCATCTAAAGCATCAAAGATGTGTGGTGAGCTGTGCCTTATAAAATGTACACATTTTCATCACAAGGTGATAGCCTTATTTATATATTATTTATATATTTTGAAAGCTGTTATATGAATTGTTAGAGGTTAAATCACTTAGACGACAAACATATGTAATACTCTTGCAATTTCTGTTTTGAAAGGAACTTTTGTGGAAAAACGCACTTCTGGTTAATTTACTAAGTAAATCTTTGTCTTTAATTATGATTTTTTTAAAATAAGTAAATAACAAATAATATGGATGTGAGTTAAGCTCTCACACTTTTGGCCCAGCAGCTAAAGAGAGTAAGACATTTATCAGAAAAATAATTTGAATGGATGCATTCTGAGCCATTACGTGTCTGCATGTACAGATTGTCTTCCCAAAGGATGACAGGGTGTTCTGGGAAGAGAAGGCCAGGGCAGAGAATGAGACAGCAGTGTAACATTTTCATCAGACAGGAACAGGTGCTGCAGGCAAAGAATGAGTTTGTCAGGCGGCTTGACAGTCCTCGTTGGACGATTGAACTCACAAAGAGCTGAATTTAACTACCTTTGAGCAAGAGAAAAGAGTTGTTCATTGTTCCAAGCTCAGCACCGTGCATGCACCTGGGACAGACAGCACAAAGGTACTGACAATCAATGAAGTGAGGTAAAAACTGTAAAAAGGTTACAAGGAAGCATTGGATTCAGCACATCCAAGAAACAACATCAGATATGTTGCTCTTTTTCTGTCTCTCTCTTTCTCTCTCTCTTTCTCTCTCTCTTTCTCTCTCTCTGTCTCTATCGCTCTCTCTCTCTCATATATCAGCTGTAACATGACCAGACCATACTTGTTTCCCGGAACCATGCTTTATACAATTCTCAAGAAGATTTTAACAACACATCCAGATAAAATATCAACTTACACTGCATTTGTGACCTCATCAGATATATCTCAAAGATAAATCAATCAAAAAATCTCCAGATGTAACAAAACCTAGATTAAAACCCATGCTCGTAAGCGTTGGCTGCACACACATCAGAAAAGGCATTTCGAAAAGTTACTCAATGATTACTTCCAAACACTCTATCTTGTTTTATGGATCAACTGTTTATTTTCTCATTTTGTGGGTTTGTTTTTCTTTTGTTCTAATGATGTCAGGGTTTTGCCTTTCCCTATCTCTTTTGTGCTCCCTGTGCCATTCGTGTGTTGTTTTCACTGTGTACTCAGCGGGAGTATCACATGAAAAAAGGCCAACAGCTCTGATTGCAGATAAACATGTGTTTCTTATATAGGCAATCTCATTGAGTATTACTAGAGTTTAATAATCAAAAGTTTCAATTTCCAACCAACAAGTATCACCACCAATGAAAATCAAAAGTAAGATTTATTTTTTAGGATATAAACATGAAATAAAATACTGGTGGCTATATTTTTTTTCTTACAGTGTATGTAAAGTGACAAAAAATTACTCAACCTCATTGTAAAGACCAGATATGAAAATAAAATGTTGGGCAAATTCAATACTTCTCCAGTTAGTAGATGGTAAGAAGAAGGCACATTTTTTATCAACTCAAGCATCACTTATTTCTACGCTAGTCAAATAGTCTACCTGCTTTCAACTGATTTGCATAAAAATACATGAACTGAAAATATGGCTTCCTCAAAACGTTTTTCATGATCAAATTCAAAATAAGCTTTTACTATTACATCTTCATGGTTTAAGACCACAGACTGATCAAGTTTGTTCTGACTTCAGCCTTTTTCACTTTCTGAATATGTTGCTTAAGTAATCACATGCGAAAAAGAAATATGTCTAAATGTGTGAATGTGTTTCACAGAGAAACACAGAAAAGGCCAGTGAGAAGCGAAAGAGAGAGATAGATTACAATAACCTCTATTCAAACAAAACTTTCTCCACACATCAATGCCTAAAACAATTAACACTGATCAAAATTTTGTTCCAGACTTGGCCCAATTTGGTGACAGAAAAGGTCATTGGAAATGAATTAAAGAGCTAAAAGAAATCAGCCATGGATGTAATTGCAAAGAAGTGAATGCATGATAAGTACTGTAACACAAATTTCTTTAGTGATGTTTTTCTATGCAACATTTTCAGACAAAAGGAGCTAAAAACTGAATACATAACAATACAGGCTATACGGGTTTACAGCAAAAAGCTGACTGCCAGGTTTTTTAATGTTTGTGAACTACCATTATTTTTGTTTTGCTGTTTATTTTTTAAAGATTTTGTAATATGAAAATGTGACTGTTAAAAGAGGTCTGTTTCTACGAGGGAATCTGAGCCAATAAAGACATAAAGCAATGCATCATGACTACTACAAAGACATTCATAGATTAAGTTTTCTTGACGTAAGCTGATTAAAACTAACATTGCAAATAGACAAACAGACGATGACTCTCCTGGCATACTTGGCCAATGTGAATGTTTGTTAAGACATTTCAGTAGAACCAGAGAGCACCATGAGTCAAATGCCTCTCATTTAAAACTAATGGTGAATCAAAAGGCATTTTGCTATGTCCAACTTCACATGCATGCTTCAGTCCATTATGGGTTCTGAAAACAGACGCTAAATCCCTTTCGGGAGAGTAGCTGTGTCGTCATTAGTGGCCTTTAACTACCCTGTTTATCGGCACAATGCAGCACTGCACCATCCCTTACTTTGCACTGCACTGACAGCAAGCATAATTATGAAAACAGCTGCTGAAAACTGCTAAACGAAAACAGGTGGCACCGACGAGACACGCTCACAAATTGCTAAGCAGGCTGGCATTGTCTTCTACCATACTTGGCAGCTTTAGTTTGAATTACGACAGAGTATATTCTAATCTGTGAATCTATTCAATTTATTCTAATTGCAAAATATTTATTCATAATCCAAATCAACAGCATGGAAAGATCTACTTATGGGTATAACTGATATACAGAAAAGAATAAAGTGGTGGAAAAAAAGTGGTGTTTCTCTTTTTGTTGTTGGGGCTACACAAACACATAAACCTGTTCCAGCAAAACTCTGACAATTTGTCATATTGGAAACAATGTGCGATTATAGCTAAGGGGTCAACAAAGATACAAATTTCTAATAGGAAATGTCGTTCAAGTTATAAATCTAATCTCAACTGAGTTACAAATTTATTTTAACAATCACTTTAAAAAGGTAGGGTCAGACAGATGAAGAAATAATAAAGGAATTAGCTGGTCACATTCAATTCTATTATAACAGCTGTTCTGTTTTCGAAGTCTGGAAATGTAATTAATTACAAGTGTAATTAATCACGATAGAAGTGAGAATATTGACATAAAGGTTGCCACATAGAAAATCCTCCAAATAAGAAATCACTTATCTATTCCAGCTGTTGTCTGGTATTTATAAATGTAATTTATCCTCCTCAGTCACCTGCTGTTATATTAAACTACTTAAATTAGTCTGAGGAAAGATAGTGTTTTTCACTTT